ACAGTACAAAGGGGAATGCACTTTGAGTTACCTTGTTGTACACTGTCCTTGAAAAAAGTATCTTAATCTCAAGGTTCTAGTAAGTTTGAAAATGCCCATCTGTGAGAACCCTGGGTCATAATGTGGAGTTGGCATGTAAATTAAGCCTTTATTAAAGACCTGTAGTTCTTGTTCTGTAAGGGTTTGGTCACATAAGTTTAAGCTAACATCTCCATCTCAACTTTGGCTGGTAATGTGTCTTCTCTTGATGCTGTTTTTTTTCTTTTGCTTGATAGTATACTTTGTATGGCCTGGGGCTGCGCATCCTCTTACAAAAAAGATGTTGAAGAGGTGGATTTGTTGGAACTACTGTCCTCCTCTCCAGTAGTGTTGTTATCCTCTATGGCAGTGGAACTGTATTGTTCATCTGGAGGGTGTGAAGAGTCAGCAAAGGATACCTTCCTTGTAGAGTTACGTGGTCTTTTAAACATCCATGGATAAACTCTGTTGTATTTATAATCCCTTTTATCCTGTTGGAATGTTTTGAATTTAAATTCTTATAATTCCTCCTTAAAAACCTGATATTTTATTATCAGTGGTTGATTCCAATTTGGCGACAGTCTGGTTAGATGTTTCAGTGATGAGGATCATAAGGTCCAATGAACATCTGCTCAAAATTGAGTACCATTTTTTTTACAAATTCCTTATCATTTCAAAAAAGTCAATTTAACTTAATATGCAATTGCATATTATATATTAACAGAATCCCCTGACAAGGCCTGTTGGTGAAATGCATAAGGAATTTTGGGAATGAAATATATTTTTACCTTATTTTACACCATCGGTATTGGCCTTATTTTTTATCCCCTCGTGACTGGTGCAGCCCTTTTATTTTCTCCCGGTGCAGAAAGCCTTCCCTGAACACAAGACACTGTGAGATCTGAAGGCTCCCTGATCAGCCAAACAGCCAACTAGATCTGCAGGGTGGAATCCATCATCTGCCTCTCTATGGCTGCTTTCACATGGAAGTTTTATTCCACATACACACACACCCCGCAACTACTGCAACATTGGATGGAGGTAGGCTTCCACATTTCAGAACCTAAAAAGGTTAGTCAGGAATAGAAGAGGGCCAACTCTAAAAATCTAATCATAAAATATACAAAAATATATATGCGTGTTTATTCAACATAAATTAACAAACAAGGGCCCATTCATACCTCATATAAAACTATAAAAACATACAAGGGCTAATAAGATAGACCTAATAAGATAGACCTAACGCGTTTCAGCTTTTAACCTAAGGAACATTTTATTTGGAACATTTGGCTGTACAACCTTCGATGAATATACAGTTGACCAGAGAGAAGTACCACTGGACATGTGATTTCACTGGAGGCTTCATTTGTATTTCTGTATTTCTTTTCCTTGCCCAGTGGTTAAACTTTGGAACAATTGATTTCTGTTCTTTATTCCATATTTTGTATATGTAGAATTGTATGTATTTTTGCACATCAGCCAATATGTTCTGTATGTATTAGACCTCTGAGGAAGGCCTGTAAAGGCCGAAACGCGTTAGGTCTATCTTATTAGGTTTATCTTATTAGCCCTTGTATGTTTTTATAGTTTTATATGAGGTATGAATGGGCCCTTGTTTGTTATTTTAATTTATGTTGAATAAACACACATATATATTTTTGTATATTTTATGATTAGATTTTTAGAGTTGGCCCTCTTCTATTCCTGACTAACCTTTTTAGGTTCTGAATTCTAGGTTTAGGTTCAGTTTTTCCCCCCTTTTTTCTTTTTTGTCCTTTTTGGTAGGCTTCCCCATGACATTGTTGTGCAGCCATTCACCCTGAGGTCTCTCCCCCCCCCCTGCTTCCATGCTGCTTTTCTCACATCTGCATTGGCACAATCTTGGCACAGGCAGGTGTGGATTCCCATATTCACTGCCATTTCCCTGTGCACCTGCCACTCCATACCCCCACCCCCTGCCACCATCACACTTTTTACTGACTTAAAAAATAAACTTGCTGCCAATTAAAACAAAACAAATTTTTAAAAAAGACTGGCAAAAAGCACTCCGGCTGCAAAGCAAAGGAAATGGAGGGCACAAGGGGATACCACACCCAGCAGAGCCTTCACTGCTGCTGTGAATTCCTCTTAATTCGCAATGGTACTGTGAGCACAACAGGGAAATGCCCCCTGCAGAAAGAACCACGCAGCCTCCAGATAACATAGCATCAGCCTTGGTATATGAACACAATGGAGACGTACAAGAGAGAACTGATATGAATAAGAAACTAGGCTGCTTCATATAAGATATTCTGTGGATACATACAGCCCTTCTAAACTGGTGCAGTACATATATGTGTTTTATCCAGTGCTCCCTCTCAGTTGAGTTAGTGTGAGTTAGCACAGTTTTTTAGCCTCCGGCTCACACATTTCTGTCTTAGCTCAGGAAGGATGGCTCAAGAGCAAACTAATTTATGCAGTAACCAAATCGCTCGCTCACAACTTTAATGCCAGTAGCTCACAAAGTAGGATCTTTGCTCATAAGACTCCACAGCTTAGAGGGAGCACTGGTTGTACCTACAACTCAATACAAAATATACTGGCAGTGTCACAGAACATGATTTGCCTACTTTCATTCTTGCTCTTTCAGTCCCTTCCAACTCCCAGAAAGCTCATTCTTGGGAAAGAAAAAGGCTGCCGAAACAGAGTCAAGTGGGAAAACTCTGCATGCTTTCTGCTGATCTTTGTTGGATACAGGTCACCGTGAGTGGTGCCTCTAATACTTTAAGCCACAAATTCTTGAACTGTCTGAAGTAGGAACTACCTTCTAAACTTGCTTTATTTTTTTGGAACCTCCTTGCAGAATGAACTCCAGGCTACTTTCTTTCTCATCAACGTAAAACTCAAGAATCTCACCACATTATCACTGGACAAGATTATATTTCATTTTTCATTTTTCAAGTATTTATAAGTAATTAGTATTATTGAGCTCTATTTCTTAGACATTTCACACATTACTCAGTGGCAAACCCAAATTTGTCATCGAGCCTCCCAGAGCCGCCTCCCAGCTTACCTGTTTCCACCTCCTCCCTCCTGGTCTCATGACCCTCCTGCAAGAGAGTAGCAACCCTCTGTTGGGTCTGAGAACTACTCCTTTAAGCAGTACAAGTTGGAATCCGAAAGGACTTGCAGGGGGCATCTCATTTCTCCCTCCCCCACTATTTCCACTTTCCTTTCCCTGAAAGCTCCTATAGCCTCTCACCTTTTCCTGCCTCCTTCTCTCCTTCCCACCCAACAGCCAATCAACTTTTATCTTCTCCCCTGTCTTCAGCTCCCCCTACCAGCAGCCTCTACCTAGGAAAACAGCCAGGTCCACTTGCATGGTATGGAACCCTCAAGGACTTTAGCAGGGGCACATCACTTTCCTCTGTATTCCTCCCCCCACATTATTTCCTTTTCACCTCCTTCTGGCAACCTGCATACCCTCTTCCCTTTTCCCTACCTCACTGTCTCCTTCTCAGTCATTCACCAACCTCCCTTTTATCTGTCTCCCATCTTCAGCTATATTTATTATTGATCTTCTTCATTTATACACTTGCCTTTTCCACATTGGGAACCAAAGCTTCAATTATTCTCCTCTTCTCCTTTTTATCATCACAACAACCCTGTGAGGTATGTTAGGTTAAAAGTATGTGACTGGCCCAAAAACACTCAGTGAGCTTCCACATAAAGAGGGGGAATCAAACTTGGGCCTCAGACCCTACTCTGAAGCTCTAACCACTACACCAGAGTGGCTTTCATAGGGTGGCTGCTGTTGAACATTAGCAAGCAGACAGGCCTAGGTGAATCATGCAAGTAGGGTGGTATCAAGGCACCGAGTTGTTGCTACCAGGCCTGGCTCCAAAGAATCCTCCCTCCCCTGCCCCCTCCCTTTTACTCATAGAAACCAAGTCTAGAATGCTGTGGTTGCCTAGCAACAGCCACTGATGGAATCCATTTAAAGTTACAGGTGTTCCAGGTTTTTTTTTAAACCCTCCCCCAATGCTTTTTTTTTCTTTCAGATTTTTCAGTAAATCTGGGGCATTTGGGGGGGGGGGGTTGTAGAAAGATCTGTCTTGTCCATTCACAGCTCCAGTCACTGGATTTAAGTATCCTCTGTTTTGGCTGACTTTACTATTAGAATACATGACATGGAAATTTACAGGACTAACTAACTACAGAAGCACTCCCTTCTATGCTACCTTTGTAGAACCTCAGGTACCCAAATTTCTCCATTTTGTATGCACGCATATACATAGAAACACAGCTTTGGGGACCCTATATAGGTGGAATGGCTGCATTAAAATGTTTGAATGCTTATTTTTAAGCATTTCTGATGCCTAGAATCACCAAATGAACAAACAAATTTGTACTTCATGGCTAATCTAGGCTTGCAAGGAACTTGTTTTTGTTTTGCCTTAGCTTCAAAAGGAAGAAAAACAGAAAGAGACTAAAAATAGAATCTGGAACCAAACATTCATTGCTTCAGTCAGTGAAAATACACTAACATTTAAGCCAAATGAAATTCAAGTTCATGTACATAAATGTGAGTATTCACGATTAACTCAAATGGAATATGGATTACACCTGTGCAAAACAATTCAGCAGTACTTTGCACGTACAAGAGCTCTGATTCAAACCCTGAGCATTCAGGCTCAGAAAAGCATTCTTTTTCATTTCAATCTAGAGACAGCTCAGTCCCTGAGTACTCCACGGGAAATACTCCCTTAGATGTAGGGTCCACACACAGAAATATTTATTGGTGTATCCATAAAGGTATAGATCTCCAAGAAAGGCAGGATTCTAGCTCTATGCATAACACCTAATTTCTCAGAACTGAACTAATAAAGAAAATGGTGCCAAGATACGGGGGGGGGGGAGCAACTATTCAAATAATTTGAACAAAAGGGGGATGAGGAAGTGTCAGACAGGAAGGATATGTGAAAACAGGCATCTTAACCTACCTGGCTACAGAATACATGAAAAGAAAATCATTGTCTGGTGATCCAGGAGTCTTGCTGTAGTCAGTGTATTTTTTCTGGGTAGTGCTTTTGATATCCTTCATCACAGACTCCATTTCCTTGCTTAAGTTGGTTTCTGACTGTACGTATATATTTGGAAAAAAGAGAGGAAAAGGTGACATAAATGGCTGGTTTATCTAGATCAAAGACTGCATAATAAATCAGGAAAAATAAGAACGGCTTTTATTTATGATATAATAGTTACATGCACTAGAATCTGAAATAGTATACAATGAAATGGCATCCAAGCCAATACAGAGTTGGAGACAGTCCTCCTAACAGGTATGATTCTTCATATAATTCAGATGGCCATTTGTTGCAATTATTCAACAAAGAAACCAGCACTGAACCCACTAATCTTTCGCCATGGAAAATTCTCTTCTAACACACCCCAGAGCAGACTGGTGATTGCTAAGGCTAAAGAATTCTAACAGTGCTGTCCTAGGAAAAGTTATACCCCTCTGTCCACTGAAGTCAATGTAGCTTAGAAAGGTATAACCCTGGTTAGGACAGCATGGTAAAGCACATATAATGTTAACGACATCTTTCTGAACATCTCTATAAAAACTTCTAAATGCAAACCTACACATATAAATCCTAATAAAATATATAGTTTACACCTTTAAATGTTCTTTTGACTGACACATTTTAAAGGGCTCCCAGTTATGAGAGATCAATGCATTGTACTGTACAGAAATCAAGTGTTCCAAGTAATACAGTTCAGTTCTGCCTAAAGCAAGAACCTGAAATACCAATTTGATGACCAACGCATAGGCTGAAAATCTGGGAGCAAAAATGTCACAATGTCATCGCCTACTTCAATGGTAATGTAATAGAATTTAGAAGCAATATTTTAACATTTAAGCTCTTAAATAGAGAAATGGAAGAGAACATCCAGCTTGTGAATTTTACAAAAGGTAAATGAGTCATGCAGAGGAGGTAGAGAGAGGAAGAAGGGAGTTGAAAGGTGGAGGCAAATTAACAAGGATCTTTCTGCCTTACACTGATGCTTACTGGGAAAGTTCCCAGCTGCTCTTGAAGCTCTTCCACCTCCTTTATGAGATCTTGCATATTCTTGTTACTGTGACACTGCCAAAGGTTTCGCTCCACATTGTTGCCAGGATAACATGGGAGGACGCTGTTAGCAAACTGCCTGCATAAAGGACAAGTAAATTCTCCTTTGTCCACCGAAAATCCCTGGAGGACCTGATCATTCTAAAAGAAAGAAAGACGCAACTGAATTTCTGAAAAGGATAAGCAACTGTCATCTTTAGCATTCCAAAGAGAGCACGGGGTCAGAAAGATCAGCTACAAGCAAGGGTGATGTTATTCGAGTAACAAAGATTGAATACAAGCTTAAATTTTGAGGAAGCAACCCTAAGAGCCATCATGGAGTAGGGCTGAGAGTGTTGAACTAGGATGTGGGACAATTCCCCAGTCTGTCATGGAAGCTTGCCGGGTAGGGTTACCAGCCTCCTGGTGGTGGCTGGAGATTTCCCACTATTGCATCTGATCTCCAGGTGGCAGAGATCAGTTCACCTAGACCAAATGGCTGCTATAGAAGGTGGATTCCATGGCACTGAAGTCCCCCATCCCCAAATCCCACCCTCCTTAGGCTCCACCTCCCAAATCTCCAGGTATTTCCCTACCTGGAGCTGGCAACCCTATTGCTCAGTGACCTTGGGCCAGTAACACACTCTCAGCCTAACCTACCTCACCTATCTCAGAAGGCACCAATGACCATCCTGAAGAACTGCTTAAACTGCTTGTAATCTCTAACCAGCCTCCCCAAATTATGGCAGCAAATGTGCACACTGGTGCTTCAAGAATACTGGCGTGAGGCTGCGGGAATTGGTTTCTCCTTGACTGCATTTCCTTCTCCTTCTCCCATGGCAATAATTACTTTTTATACAGCCCCACCCTATTCTTCAAAAAGTGCAATTTCAGGACAAAGAGAGCAAAGTAGTTGTTGGGAAGGGTGTGACAGCTACTAGAGAGCCAGTGTGGTACAGTGGTTAAGAGCGGCAGACTCTAATCTGGGAGAACCGGGTTTGATTCCCCACTCCTCCACATGAAGCCTGCTGGGTGACGTCGGGTCAGTCGCAGTTCTCTCTCAGAACTCTCTCAGCCCCACCTACCTCACAAGGTGCCTGCTGTGGGGAAGGGAAGGGAAAGGCAATTGTAGCCGCTTTGAGACTCCTTAAGGCCCCACTGGTGGACCTCCTGATGGCACTGGTATTTCTGTCCACTGTGTGATACAGAGTGTTGGACTGGATGGGCCTTTGGCCTGATCCAACATTGGCATCTCTTATGTTCTTAAGGTAGAGAATCACAGGGTATAAAAACCTACTCTTCTTCTTCGTCCAGCATATCAAACCGGCCACTTAAATAAAAGTGTTACTGAACACAACGTAGAAACTCTCCATACATTACAAAAGCGGACAAAGGGCTGTGATACTGGCAAAGCTTAACTCAGGCTGAAACAGAACTGAAAACTGAATTAAAAAGTTCAGCTCTGAATTTTCAGTCTGGACCATATTATAATCGTAGCAGCACGACCACACATATACAAAGATGGATTTTAGGCCCTGCATTATAAAAATCCTTGTTTATAAATGCAGAAGCATATCGGCACTTAATAAATGCAGAACTACTGCGATTTTACCAATTGTCAACAGCAAAAATCCACAGTAATTTAAACTGTTAAAAGTCAATGACTGAAAATGTTTGTTTTGACTTACCCGTAATGATTCCATATAGGATTTATGACAATCTATGTGCAATGTATGTCCACAGGTTTGTACATACACACCTCCTTCCCAGCCAATTGATACTGACTGCAGACAGGAACTCTTTAAAAAGACACAACAAACATATAAGATTTAAGAGTTTATTTGTTTTCAACATGAACACCACTATTTAAAAACGCAAGAATGATGTCCATACCCTCGAAATCATTGACACAAGTCTTGAATAATGGTATAAGTTGTCATTGCCCACTCTAAGAAATAGTTTCTAGAACAGATACAACTACAAAGCAGGTTCTTGATGGAAAATACAGCAGCAAGATGCATATGTACTCCAAGTACTTTGAGTCTCTTAATATAGTAACAGCTAGGCTGCGATCATATGTACAATTAGACCCGCCACAGGCGCGAATGCCGGGCAGATTTAAAGGGCGCGATCAGACAACATCTGGGAAGTGCCCTGCAGCCGTTGGCAACCCGTTCTGCTCCGCCGCAGAAGCAGAGTTAAAAGACACTGGGGGAAATTCGGTAGTAAATGGGTTGTGACGGGCCACGGATGGACTTTCCCCTGTCTGATCGCTCCAGCATGCTCTCATGGCGTCGGGATGGTCTGATCAGGCCATCCTGACTCTGTGCCGTGGTTCCCCCCCCCTCTCAGTATGCGCATCATCACAAACTCCATAGGGAGCCCTCAGTGCAGAGATGTGATTCATTGATTCCTCGTTTAAGCGCATCAGAAAGAAACAGCAAAAAAAACCCCACCCTGATTCACCCGCAGTTGCGTCTGATCACGCAGTGGCGGGCTGTGCACGCAGCTTCCAAGGACTGTGTGATCGCGCAACTGTGGGTCGAATTTTTCCGGAACCTTAGAGAAAGCTCTTGCTCCTCCAGTCTGCAAGAAAAAGAGCTGAATGGCCTTTGTGCTTGAAATCCCGAATCCCGGCCAAAGGAACCAGGGAACATGTCATGGTGGAGTGATGCCCAGACAGGGAGCGGTTGTTGCCTGGATAGAAAGGATGTGGGATCCCCTGGAGAAGTAACTCTGTGGCATCAATAGTGCCCTGTGAGTCAATGTCTCCTCCTCTGCTCAGAAGCTTCACCACGCAGGTAAGGGTCTTCAGGTCCAGCTACTCACTAACTCTGGGCCTATGTTCCCTGCAGTTGAAACACACACTTGGGGAAAGTTTTTCTTCTCTGTCTGAAGAGGAGCTGGATTTGGACAACACTGACTGGCCAGCTCTGTTTTTTTATTATTATTTTTATTAATTTTCAATTATATAACCTTACAAAAGTGAACAATAATCATTTTTTCCAACTTTTCAAAACATAAAAAACAAAACTTACAACAATCAAAACTTTAGGCAACCATTGCTGATAATATTCGCACAATGGAAAAGCTTATCATTAAACATTCAAAAACCAATACATTATAAGAAGGTAAGTATATTCTCATATTTACTCGGCATAGTATGCAAAATATGTGGTGCTTTACCTAGGATATACGCACTAAAAGGGAGCCATTTGACCATTATTCTGGAATCTGAGTTGGAATCATCTGACAACGTTATAGAGTCTGTAATTTTATCCATGACTGGCCAGCTATTTAGGCCAGTCACTACACTGTCTTCTCCCCCTGCCCTCTTGCTCCACTTTTCAGCTAATTGCACAAGTGCTCAAAAAAAAATTAAGTGTGCCAAAAGAAGCCTTTAATCAAATCACCATGCAGGTGCCCTGAAAAAACAAGACAGGACAGCTGGTCTGCTCTCCTCCCCACCCCACCCCTGCTGGCTTTTGTTTACTCTGGTACCAGGTATGTGGCTCCAGTGCAGAAGGGAAAAAGTAGAACTTGCCCCACAGCCTTCCAGCTAGCTGAAGTTCCTGAATTTAAGAGTGTCAGTTCTCCCTGTAGGAGGACAAGACCACCTGACCCCTCCAGGTTTACCATACTATGGCACACGGGCCGGATATCGCGGGGTGGGAGGCGTGACTTACGGTAAGCCACAGGTGTGCTCCACTTCCCAGATGTTAGGGTGTGATCGCGCCTGGATAATCCACCCACCTTCTGTGCCTCTCCCGCGGCAACTTTGCCGTGTGACCGGAGCCTCTTTCAGCAAAGTATACAGGCTCCATCTGGTACTTTGCAAGACAATTTTTACAATTTAAATGTTGCCTTTAAAGCTAATTGCCACTACGGTAAGAACAGCTACTGCTGAGGGGACAGCTGATCAACAACAGGATTTTTATTGCTTAGCTCAGCTAAGGCTCCACTTCCCAGATGTTAGGGTGTGATCGCGCCTGGATAATCTGCCCACCTTCTGTGCCTCTCCCGCGGCAACTTTGCCGTGTGACCGGAGCCTATGTTGGCTATCGAGGGTGGGGGGTAGACAGATGGAAGCTGTGCACCCTCTTTCTCAACCTTTAGTTTTTTAAAAGGAAAAAAGAAGGCTTGAGACCAGCTTTCTGTAGAGCACCATGATAGCCTAGCCTAGCTTAGCCTCGTCAGAGCATAGAAACTACATAGGGTTGGCCGTGGTTAGTCCTTGGATGGGAGACCACCAAGGAAGTCTGGAATTGCTATGCAGAGGCAGGCAATGGCAAACCACCTGTGCTCATCTCCAGCCTTGAAAACCCCACAGCCCTGGGGTCACTATGAGTTAATTGTGACTTGATGGCACACAACTATTGTTATTTCTCTAGAGACCAGAAGTCTAGCTCTCTGAAATACCGGGCTTTCTGACTTCCATGCCTCTGATCTACAGAAGAAATAGAACTTGCCTAGCATGGGTCCAGCTACCCCTGCCCCTAGGAAGCTTTGCTTCTTGCTCTTTGCTGCTTGAGTCATAGCTCATGTTTTCTCACTGAAACCTTCAAATAAACCAAATACAACCACAAACCTTTGTCTTCCAGCTAATAACACTGAAATAAGCCTGGAGCGCCTTTCTATGGCGGACAACTATGTAGGCCATTTTCAAAACAGAATTGATGCTTCTCTTTCAGCAAAGTATACAGGCTCCATCTGGTACTTTGCAAGACAATTTTTACAACTTAAATGCTGCCTTTAAAGCTAATTGCCACTACGGTAAGAACACCTACTGCTGAGGGGACAGCTGATCAACAACAGGATTTTTATTGCTTAGCTCAGCTGCACAAACTATTCAGGGGGTTAAGAGAGGGTGCTTTTTGTATGCTGATAGAAATTTAAGGATTAAACCTTCCCTGCTGTGACCATTTTAGCACAGTAATGGTCGAGAAAGCTAAAAAGAAAGCAGAAACCGTTGATCTAACTAATATCTGCATTGGGCCAGGAACTTTCAAACTTAAAACAGAAACACTCCATTTGTATGAAATATTAATCTAGTTCCCCAAGGATGAAAGATTCCAGCTGCACAAGAGACTGCTGTTCAGAAAGACCTAGTGTTATCTATGGATCTGACAAATCTGTTCCACTAGAGATTTTTTAAAAATATGTATAGGATGGAGAAAGAGAACAGAGGGAGCCTTTTCTCCCTCCACCATAGTACAAGAACTCCAGGGCACCCAATGAAATTGTTGGGAAATAGGTTCAGGATAGAAAAAAGGAAATACTTCACTACTCGATGAAAATTAATCTTGGGAGTTCACTGGCAGTGGATTGAATGGTGTCCATAACCATAGATAGTTTTAAAAGGGGATTAGACAGATTCATAGTGGTCTATCAATGGCTGGTAGCCATTGTGGCTGAAGGGAACCTTCATATACAGAGGCAGCAACCTTCTGAAATACGAGTGTAGGGAGGAAGCAGCAAGAAAAGGCCTTGGCTTCTATGCACTTTTTGTTTGGCCCTCCAGGGCAACCGGTTGGCCACTATGTGAAAAAGTATGCTGACCCAGATGGACTGGCCTAATCCAGCAGGCTGTACTTAAATTCCAGCTGAGCTGCTTTCCTCTGACAGACCCGATGTGCTCTTCTGAGGTCAGAGGAACCCAACTCACAGATTTCTGCCAAAATGTGCAGTTTTAGGAAACTATGTATCCATTTTTTACAATAAAGACAGTGTCACAATAAAGACAGTATCATGGTACTCTGACAAACCAAGACAAAATTATACTAGTGAAGAATATGTCTGAGTTTACTTTAAAATTGAGAATTACAAGGACACAAAACAAAGTACATGACCTTATTAAATGAAGGTCTGATTAAAAAAAAACACAACCCAAGAGTTTCAAAGTTCATGGATTCTAATTTCCTGTTCCACACAAAAACAGACTGGCAACATTCTGAGGAACCGGTGATGGCAAAAACACAACTGCCTACATTATCTCATTACTGATGATAATTTTCTGCATTTCCCACCTTTATGCACATCTCCTTGCTCCAGTCAAGTTGATTATGTTCTGTATTGTACCTCTGTATCCTGACTCCAACTGCCCCTTCTTTGTAACACCCCGCTCATTTTCTGACCTGGATACAAGAGCTCCTGTATCTTCCTTCTTATTCTTATCTGACAAAGTCATCTTTGACTCTTGAAAGCTTGTACCCTGCAAAAATTTTGTTGGTCTCTAAGGTGCTACTGGACTTGAATTTTGAAGTGCCCACATTGAATCCCCTGAATCGTACAACAAGAACCAAGGCAGAAAGGACGCTGGCAATATGGGCAAAGAACACCTTTCTCTAAAGCTAAAGACGGGAAGCATCCACACATCATTGGATACCGCATGGTTTTTACACTATAGCCAGTACTGCCAACTGGTTTATCTTGTCCACACAGAATAATCCAGTTGCAAATGGCTGCTATAGTGCAACCACAGCACATTATCCAGTGATGTGCCAATGCAGCCTCAGACTTTCTGGAATGCAAAGTGTGGTTCACAGCTTCGAAGCACAGAAATAGCAACTAGAAATAATTAAAATGATGCAGTATCACCACTCTGGAAGCTGAAACAAATGGAATATAAAGCCAGTAAATAAACAGCAAAACTTTATAGCTCTATGCTCAAAAGACAGCTCCGTTTGTAAATTTTTGACAAATGGGAAGTATATACAATAAACAAATTTCCTTTGATTTGCAATCAGTTCAGACAAGAAAATCCAATTGTCCATCATTTTTTGCATAACTATCCTGATGAAGAAGAGCTAAATTTTACTTAGGTTCATAGGTTGCAGGATGAAAACATGAAGAATCAGACAAACAGGGGTAGCTAGTATTTGAATTGCGATTTTGTGGTATTGAAGTTTAAATACTTAGAATAACTTAACACTGAGCAAAAACCTTTTTTCCTAATACTGAACTTTATAAAACCTCTACTGATAAGCATCTCATGCTATTCAACTACAAAAGTTTCATAAACATGAAAAAGTCTTCTGGTTGTATGGGAAGGGTTAGTTATTGGGAAACATCAATATAATAGTGGGCCAGGGATTGTTAGAGGAAGACCATATTCAAGGCCTCCTATTCTTTCTAAAGAAACAATATAAAGGAGCACGTCTGAGATGAATGTGTCTTGCTTCTGGAACTGATATTTCTTTGTACAGTTCTCAGAAGGTATTTTCATCTCCTCTTTTAGCAAGCAATATAAATGAGAAATAATCAATATGTTAACAAAGCAGCAATTGGACACCCCCTCCTTCAGTGTGTTATTCAGAACAAATCTATATTGTTTTACTTCCTAGCTTCCTGAAAACTGAAAAGGCACTTCACACAGGATAATGGACATACCAATTTATCAAACAGAGTGTTACAGCTGAGAAACAGATACTTGAATAAGGCCACCCAGTAAACATCATGGCTGAGGAAAGAGTTGAACCAAGCTGAAGGCAAACAATGTATACAGCCAGCTACAGGGGTTTTCAGAAATACTTCTACAGAATTACAATCCCTTCTGTAACCTGCCCACCCACAACTCTTTCAATGGAATACTGAAAGCAACATTATGCAATACTAACCGAAATACTTTGCACATTTACAATTTTAACTTAACAAAATCTTACCTATCAAAAAGAAAGCATATGACCAAAACATTTTTAACTGCAAATGCAGTAAGATAAGAATAGCACCACTCTCTTATTGAGAAAGGATGCTTTCCCACTATAGAATACTTACATCTTTAAAGTACTTTTGTAAAGTTGCAAGTCGTTCTTCATAGACGGCTGCGCACGTATCCCGAGCGTAAATCTGCTCCTTTTCTGAAGTTGGTAGCTTCTTAGGCTCAGCACTATTACTGCATTGCCCCAAAACTGCAGGGGGGGGGGGGAATCAGTAGCGTGCAGGAAGAAGAAACTGCATTTTTAGTAGTTCTTTTTCTTAAAAAATCCATAAATCAGATAAAATGTTTGGTGCTGGCTGAGTCAAAACTGGTCACAGAATTGAATAGAGAGTCTGCACTGTGGGAGCTCTCAGAAGAGCTAGCAAACTGCTAAATATTACATTAACTAGGTATCTGTACTCTCATTACAAAATTTAACGTCTGATTATCTCCTCCCTCCAATTATTCAGCCATGATTTAGGAGCAATAACAGATATCACATATATTTTTTTCCCACTCCCCCAAAAATATTCCCTGGAAATGGGAGCATAGAGAGATGTAAAATTTCCGGAAATTTTGAAGCTCGGGAAAAAAATGGTTTTTTTTCAGGGGGAGACGGAATTTTTCAGAAAAATGGGGGGGGAAATGCTACATTAGCACTTCTTTTTTCTTTTCCAGATTGAAAATCATTCTGTTACTTTAGGAACATAAAATATGACTATGGACATTTTTACTTGGCATGAAATTATCACAACTAGCATATTAAAAATATAGTGTATCCAAACAATTATTACAAACAGAATACCCACCCACATGCAAAAACAAAACTGAAACCTTTTTATTTTCTT